AACTGATGTCCAATTTCACATGTGATTTGTTATAATCTTCCAAAATAAGTCTTATGTGTATAATAATGGATAAATATCAGACTCAAATATTCAAATTAAGCACCAAAGTATGTGTAGAAGCTACAAAATTTCTAAGCCATTTAGGAACTCAAAACTCATTTTTACCTCTTGTCAGTCTGTGATCAAGGGTCAGATCCTGGATCTGTTACTCATGAAAAAAAAATATTCAACAGACTAACCCAACTGAAGCCAGGAAAAATATTCGTGGTCAGATCATCGAGCCTCAGATTATATGACACTAGTCTGGCCTCACAAAATGGTGAATTCTGTCATCTGAAACTCACATTTACTCCAAAAGGGAAAACTCTCACATAAATTAAACATAAAGAAAAAAATTGTACGCTGTTATATGCCAACATTATTGCTTCCAGAACAGTGCAGCATGCAAGTACAGCTACCAATATTTGAACAGCAAAAATTTAGGAGCTGCGACAGAAATAAGAATCACACTAAAGACTAACACCACCACTGAGAAATATACTCCAAATATTGGTGTAGCAGATTACATATGTGTGCCAGCCTGCGTACACACTGGACGAAACTGCCTGACTTGATCATCAAGTGAGCTGTACACATCATTTAGGCATAAAATGCATTTGTTAAATAAGTGATTTAGATTCACATTTAAAAAAGAGGATGTTAATCTTCCTATGTATTCTCTTCAGATACTTGGCTGCTTTTGTCATCTTGTATTTCATTCCTTCAATGAAACTCAATAATACTCTTGATTTCTGGGCATCTTCTTCCCCTGCCATTACTTCACACACAAGATTTTTCAGTTTTTTCATTATCAATAATAAATAGACACAAGTTGACTGGTACCACATAGGAAGGAATTCATAAATATTTATCAATTCCCTATTGAATCATCTGCAGTATAGGGCAAAAGGTGGCGTTTGCTTTCAGCAGTGCGTGCCTGCAGCCCTAGGAGAGGGTGGTGTCCTTGGGAAGAAGGCTTTTACCATCACTGTGCATCAGTGTGCTGTGACATTTCCTGCTCAGAAAGCAGCTGGTTTATCTCAAGACTGAGACTCTCCAATGCTACATGCAGGATTATCATACAAGAAAAGGAATGTACCCTCATGATCCAGAATTTGCCTATCATAAGGGAGAACCAGATACCAGAAAATCAGGATAGAGTTTTCTGCTTTCCCTTTAGAGATGTAAGGAATAGTTTCATTCTTTTTTGTGGGCACATTCTCTATGACAAAGTCACTTCAGTACACCAATATTTCAGGGAGGAATTCACATTTTGCTGTTTGTGTTTGGTCCTAGATATCTGTAGCAAAGTTTCCTTATGTCTCTCCCTAATGCTAGTAAGTGGGGGAGGCTGCTCAAAAGGTGGACCACCCTGCCACGTTTTACACCGTAAGTGCAACTCCTCTACCCGATTCTGGTCCCATTAACCCAGGCCCTGTCAGGTGCCTTGGACCACTGACCACACAGGTATCCTCATTTTGGTGCTTATTCTATTATGTGTTATCTTAATGCAGATGCACACACCATTTTTCTGAGGGTTATTCCAATCCTTTTCCTTCTCAGCCAGCCTGCGTGAGATCAGTTTCACCCTTCCCCACCCTCTCTCATCACATAATGATGTTGCAGCCCATTATTAACTCACAGTAGTCACTACATAAAAGAATGTTATGACTTCTATTTGGGATTTCCAGGGTTATTTGTTTCTTTTTGTTTGTTTGTTTGGGTTTTTCTTGTTTGTTCTGGTTTCATTTGGGGTTTTGTTTTGTTATGTGGTTTGTTTGTTTAGGGTTTTTTGAGTGGAAGACTGGGATAAAACAGATCAGAAGAACTTGTGAAGACTGTTCAAGTAAGCCCTTTGCACCAGTGTGTTCTCATAGGACATGAAGAGATTTTTTGAGAGAAAAATCTTTGTGCATTGCTTAAATCACAGAGAGACTTTCCCTATATGTTACTTCAGGCCTGTGGGTGCATGAAATGCAGGATCTGGGTAGTCAAGGTGGCTGTGGCAGGGGAGGCAGGGGTGGCTTCAGTATTACCACCTTTCTTCTAAGGCACTGCTTGCAAATATGCAAAGCCTGGTACATAGATCATCACTTTTTGGGAGGCAAGACTGAAAAGATGCAAGTGGTCTATACCCATTCATTGGAACTATACTGAAATGTCCTTTCCCCCTTAGAGGGCTGTTACTTTCCCCAAAATCAGGGGAAAATGTACAGCAGGTCATGGGAAAAATAATCTGTGGCAGGTTTTCCTGCCTGACTTCGGGAAGCTGGGCTGTGGCTAGTTAGAAACACCCTTGCTATCCTTTGCTATCTCAAGTACCTAGTTCAGAAGCCAAAATGAGCCTGAAACAGGCCCTCAGATGCAAACAGCCTCAAGTGGAAAATTCAAACACTCCAGTTGGATTTCTTGTCAGATTCTTGCTTCACACTCAGATACTGAAAGAGGTAATGAAGCTTCAAGAAATCAATCTTCTCTGTTGGGTTACCCTAGCCAAAACTTCATTTTGTAGGAGTTTTCATAAACAAAATAACTATAAAACTCTCTATTATTTCAGGGATGTAAAAATTTCAGTTATTCCCAGCCAAGGGATATGATCAAGACAGAATAACAGGGGTTTTCATACTATTTTACATTACTGTTTCTTCTTCAGAATTGTACTTCTAAGGTATTTTTTTTTCCTGATTGAGATTAAGCTAAAATGGCTATTCTGAACACCACCATGGAGCTATGCTGAACAATGCATCAGAGGGCTACAGCACCATAAATAGATAAATCTACATGTTTAACTCTACTTCCAGTTTATTATTCTGCTAGCTTTTTTTCTAGTTTATGTGTAATATGTGCTGCATTCATACGGGTTAAATTAGCCTCTTTCTGGCCTGGGTTGATGGTTGACCCTGGTTGTTGTAATGGCATGACATTTATTAATCCAACTTTGGAGGTATGAATTAAAATCTGCTGAAAATGTTCATGTTCTTACAGTTATAAGGAGAGAGAAGAAAACAAGAAACCCCAAAAGCAGAACACCTGGCAAGTGGAAGTTGCTGTTTTTCGTAAGGGTGGACACCCCTTGAGACATTTGTTCTGTACAAAAGAGAAATATTAACTAGAGATGAGGGTATACTTAGATAATAAACAAAATACTGTGAGGTGGTTGTATGAGAATTCACGGAGCATTACCTATACTGTCTCACTTTGATTGATCCACAGTGAGGCAAAACGGCTTACTGCTCTCTCACGTGCATCACACCTCCATCACACAGCCCATAGGTTACAGCACAAACAGTGCTATGGCAGATTTAATTGCTACCCCAGCTCTCACAAAGTGCTGGTCATACCTCGCAAGTGTGCACTTCACACTATTTGAGCTCCTGTGGACTAAAAGTATTTCTGCTATAAATGAAGCAGTGCCCTTTAAGAAGTAACTGCATTTTTGTTAGTTTATTTTAATTCACATTCTGCAGCAGAAATAGGCATTTCAACTCCCCTTTTTACACTCTGTCTCACTGAAATCAATAACAAAAATTGCACAATCTCTCTGCACACGTGGACAGAAGTCACTTCTAGCACAGGCTGTCCTGGATTCTCTCTGACTATGTACTAAGCACGGAAGGTTGCTGTACATGTACTTCTCTTTCTCCTGAGCAGGTGGATGGGAACAGGTAAGGCTTCAGGTCTGGACACCCACTAATTTGCAAGGTACATTTGATGCAGCAAAACCATCTCTGTTTGCTGATGATTTAAGGAGAAATGAGGATCCATCCCCAGCTGAGACAAGGCTGAAGAAGAGGTCTTTTGCTATTAAAGACTACACCATCTGCTTATGAATTGTCTCCAAAATGAACCCTCCACTCTTCCCTTAGGGCTGCAGCTACATACATTTACCTCTTTGAATAAGTTAATCCTTCAGGATGACAAGTCATTGCCTACTTCTTTGGAAAATATATTGTCATGGCACAGATAGGGATAAAATAAATATGCACTTATTAAAAAACAAAACCAAACCCAACACAACAAAAAACACACGAGGAAAATGTAATTAATTGAACTGACAAATTACACTGAAGACACAGTTAAATAAAAGTTCAATCTGCTTCTCTTTGGCCCCCTCCACCTGCAGGCCTGACCAAGTTGTAGATAGAAAAATAAAAAACCCCACCTACCACATGAACCCACACAAGATGTAAGTGAAATTGTTGTTAGTGGTGGTCGGTGAAAAATCAGTTTCTAACTGAAAGTCATTCTCAAACAGTGTAGCACAAACTGCACTTCTGCTTGTCTGGAGATGCCCTGTGTTCACAAAGACCCCAAGGCTTGGGTACAGCTCATGAGGGGAAAGCACCGTGGTCACTTCTAAGCATTAAAGGCAGCCTTGACTTCCAGAGGGTCTGCACCAAAAAGCATACTTCAAATGCCAAAGGACAATTCTGAACCCTGTCGCTGATGTTCAAGTTTAGCTTTTAACCACATGATGGAACTGCTTCTCTGAAAACAAACTCACCAGTGAGTGACCTTTCCTTCAATTTGCTCTCCTTTATTTCTTTATTGCTCTGATTTTCTTATTTAAAAATGCTGACAGGTTAGGAAAAAGTCAGATCAAGTCTCTGTGTCAGGGTAATGTTTAACCATAGATTAACACCTCACAGATAAAAAGTGAGCATGCTATAGATTTCACAGCTGAATCTGCTGCTCCGGCCTGACAGAAGCATCAACAGCACTAGGGTCTAAGTCCATTCAGCACCTTCCTAACTCATTCTTAGCTACTTTTTTCTTCCTCTTTAGGAGTGAACTGGGTAAAAAAAAAAAAGTCTCCTAGCTGAATAGTCTTGCTGTTTATAATCTGTCATTGATGAGCTACACATAAGCTTCAACTTTGCTGGCAAGTGAATTCATCTGTTCAGAGCAACAGCTACAGAAAACCAGACTCCTCCGCATCAGAGAATTGTCCAACTGCTGCTATGTCAAATTTTGTAGCTCCAGAAGTCAAAAAATTTGTGTCTTGGGACTATGTTGTTTTTGCAGGGCTGTTTTTAGTCTGTGCTAGCATTGGAGTCTTTTTTGCAGTTAAAGAGAGAAAAAAGAAAACTTCAAAGGAATTTTTGGTAGGTGGTAAGCAGATGACATGTGGACCAATAGCCTTCTCTCTCACATCAAGCTTCATGTCAGCAGTGACTGTTTTGGGGACACCCTCCGAAGTCTATCGCTATGGGGCATCCTTTGTGCTCTTCTTTCTTTCATATGCACTTGTCATCATTTTTACTGCAGAACTCTTTCTACCTGTATTTTATAGATCTGGCATTACAAGCACTTATGAGGTAAGTAAAAGTAATTCTAAAAGGCACTGTTCTAATATAAAAGTCCGTATCATGCATATAGATATTCATAGAGAGAAAGCTGAAAGAAGATTTTCTGCAGTGTTTTACAGAACAAGTATATTGATGCACTAATTCTTTTCCAAATCAGGTGGCACTGCTCTGGTTACTCATATCGCATAAGTTGAAAAAGCAAATTAAGGGCCAGAGCTCCTGTTACGCATACACAGCAAAGACAGGAGAAGGGATTACACACCAGCACCAAATGAAGTTACAGATGGAAAACATTTTAAGTGTATCTAAAGGCTTCTGATCTTATAAGTAACTATTCCACTTTTTTCTTATACATATATACACCTGCTTTTGCAGAGTAGGAGTTAAAAGACAGATTTTAAGTACAAAATTCAATAGTATCTAACTCAAACTTGGTCTAGAGCTGGCAATTTGGTCCGATTTAATAGCAAAGTGGACAATTTGATATCTAAAAAAAATAGCCAAGTAGATATTTGATAACTATTGGAGTGGAAAAAAAGAATAAAGAGGAAGATGGTGGCAGGTCTTTTTCAAAATAAAACAACCAAAACCAAACCAAACCTACTCAGAGCTGGGGAATGAATTCAGGGATTCTCTAGGAAATGAAATTACAGGAACAACCTCTGAATTTTCTAGAGTTTTTGCCTGGCATGCCTCCTGGAACACGTAATTTTCTTCATATGACAGTTCAGCAGTTGAGACAAACCAAAACACGCAGCTGACCTTGTGATGTTATTGCTAGGAGCACAGTGTGCAGCCCTTACCACTTGCACACCCACAGGGCAGCTATTGAGCATTTGGGAACAGCCTTTTAGTCACTTTAATCACCAGCCTCAAATTTGGTCTCCTGGTTGTGAGCAGTTTGAACCAAGCAAGAATTGGATGAAGAAATCTGGGGGAGTTCATGAGGAGTAACAGGAAGACTTCTCTAAGAAGTTCTCTAAACCCAAACACAAGGAGCAGCTTTGGTCAAACAGCCCTGCCTGGGTATTTGGAAATAAATCAGTTCCAGGTTGGCAAAAAGTCAAATTGACCATCTGTTCCCACTGCCACAAGTAACCACACTGTATAGCTGGTTTTGGTGCAACATCAGAGAAGTAATTACTTTTCTCATTTGAACCACCGAAGCTGTCATTGCAACCAGAAAGTCCCTTCAAAATGACGCTGCTGGCTTGAAGAATTATTTTTAGAAACAAGTTATATAAATTAGCTATTTATCTGTATGGCAGACTGTGGGGCTTATTATGCAAGAGACACAAGAAAGATGAAAATGAGCAAAATAAATAAGAAAGAAGCTGCTTTGGAAGAACTATACCTAGAGACTTGTAAAAGAGAGAAGACGCATACAGCCTGTGCTTGGAGTCTGCTGGGATCACATGGGACTATGGCCCAAGGAGAGACCCAGCCTACCCATGGCTAGGTGGGATGCTGCCACAGATGTAATTTTTCCTTCAGCTCTACAGAGAGGCTCCAAGTGGTGGCTCAGGTTTAACAGCTGGACTTCTCAGGCTAGAGAGCTACTCACCTCTACAGTTGTGTGGTAACTGGGGACACGTCCCCACATCTAACTGCAAGTTCCTAAGAACTCCGCTTGCTGCTCCATGTTGATGATGTGCAGATTTGGGTTTAGATTGAGACAGGGCAAGCAAGAAAGCCAGCTTAGCTCAAGCACTGTGGAACTCTATGTTGCCACTTCTCCATCTGTTCCATCACCACTTTGATCACTACAGGAGTGAAATCAAACTATTTCTCCTAGAGATGACCTCAAGTTTCCTCTTCATATAGTTGGAGTGTATCTTCATTTGAAGTTTACTTTTCCCTTCAGTTATTCCCAATACAAAGAATACTGAGTACTGCAACCCAACATATAACTTCAAGTACGCGTTACTGGTGAGAGGATTTCTCACACATAATGATCACTCTGCGTAATAACAATCATGCTGTCCTGCTCGTTACTCATAGCAGCAGTGCCAGCTGCCAGTAATTTTACTTGCATGGCAAACAGAAGGTTAATAGCTGTGTCACAGATGCTACATGTGCAATTTACTAAGATTCCTCTTTTTCCCTAGTATTTGGAGTTAAGGTTTAACAAGATCGTCCGTCTTGCTGCAACGCTGATCTACATCCTGCAGACGGTGAGAAGCCATTGACTCTGTTTATGCCCATTTCACTCAACATTTATTTTGACAGACTAATCTCAGACTGCACATTTTCTAAAATCAAATATTTTAATGAGTACTCTTTTGTCCTTTATTTTTTCACTTGGACTGTGAATGTTAAAAAATGAATGGTTGCTTTCCTAACTTTTCCTGTTTAGGATTAAAAATGCCATTTTTGTTGTCTTTGACACTTGGATGTTTTGCTGAACTCTCACAGCTTGTCAAATTCTTGATCTCATTATGTTCCCTTGTCTCTCTTTTCAAATGAGTGGATTCTGTCTTTCTTGAAAAGCTAAACAAGCTGTACTGGGTACAGTTAGATCACCAGTTACCATCTATGATGGTGGGGTGAAGGTATCCCATTTGAAAGCTGTTGCATGTGGCATCTCCTGGGTGGATGGCCAGGTAGGACCAACCGAGTGATAGTCCCAGAATGGACCATCTCAGAAAGTTGCACAGTTATGTATTTGATGGAAAGATGAATTTTATGGAATGTTTGAAGACATTTCTTTCTACATAAATTCCATTTCAGTAATTCCAAAACCTTCAGCAGCAGATTTGAATGCTTTCTTATTTTCAGGCCTTGTTTCTCCCTTAGTTCTGCCAGAACATATGTGTGAGAGCATTGAGTCTTCTTTGAAAGGGTTTGAATAAAAAAATGGATGTTTAAATTCCAAGATCAATGCACTTTATTTCAGTATCACTTTTTGTGTTTTCCCAAGAGGTCCTCTTTCTACTTGACTGGGATATTTTTGTCATCTAGTCATCCTAGCAACTGGTGAAATAAGTAATACCAAAGCAAATAATGGTCCTTTCATCGGAAAGGAATTAAATCAAAGATTTTTGTTTTATAAAGGCTGAAACGGAAAGCCAGATACTGTTAGATAGGCTGATCTATAGAAACGCTCACATCTCATATTTTGCTCTTCTAAATAGAAAATTATCCCTGATCATTCGCATACACTTTCATTACTTTTTTTTTCCTCCTTCAGATCCTTTACACAGGAATAGTGGTTTATGCTCCATCACTGGCACTCAACCAAGGTAAGTTCCCATGCTGCACTACATAGCTGCCCCAGATAACCTTACAACAAGGTAAAAAGAATAAATGAAGTAAAGAAAACAAATTCTGAAAAAAATAAGTAGATCCACAGAAGTTCTGTAAGAAGGTTTTTGCTTGCTTCTCATAGCTCTGCATTTCTGACTACCCACATTTCCCTCATACCAGTGCATTAGCAGGAGCCTCACATTTGCTGCTCTGCTCTGCTTTGCACTCAGTAACTACCTGAAGAGGTTAGCAACAAACAATTTCTCAACATCCTGACAAAGTTCACAGTACAAGCTGATGATCCAAGACCATACTCTGTACTTTGAGTCCCCTCTTCCCTGTCTCCCATATTCAGGTTCCCATGGGCATAACTCTGTTCCCTGTAGCTGGAGCCAAATGCCATGCTGCTGTCTGTCTGCACACTTCTTCAATCAATCTTTGCAAACCAGATATACAGCAACCATCATAATAGATGGGATTAGTAATTTTACTGCCATAGGACAAAAAGAATTGCCATGGCCTAACTCCCAATTTCACCAAAATCGACTGGACAGAGAATGGGAGTCTTTTCTCATTGTCATCCGAGTTGTGCTCAGTTTGTCTGACCCCACCTTCACACAGCACAGAGCTTCCTTCCTCTGGAGCTCAAATGAATTTTATGGACAATTCATGTCTGTTGTTAGGCCACACTAACTCTGCTAATAAATAGATTTGCCCTCACAAACTATTTGTGGTGGGAGCGACTTCAGTATAAGCCAAACCAAAATTCGAGCATCTTTTGTAAAGCAACTTTATAAATTAAAATGAACAGGAAAAATGGCTTTAACATAGCATATTCTAGCATTAAACTGTTCCTGGTTAAAGGGAATGGAGTGTAGTTTGGGTTGGGATTTCTTCTTACAGTTCCTTGGAAATATCTGAAGAACTTGATTTCTCAGGAGAAAATTCTGGACTAAGAGCAGAAATCATTGCTTATAAAGCTGTATCCCATAGGAATGATGTCTATGCTCTGTGCAGTTATTCTTCTTACATGTTACTTTTGCATGCTTGAAAGTTAGTTAGATCCAATTTGCAAGAAAACAACAATGCAAATCAGTATCCAGTAGTATTAAGAAACCTGAACAATCCAGCAAAGCTCCTAATAGACACAAATGAGTAAAATTAATACTTTCTCCCATCCTTCTGAAGCTAAAGGATCATAGCTTTTCTGTTACCATCCATATTGCCTACCTCCATTTCACTAACCATTTGGTTTTCTTTGGTTTTACAGTCACTGGATTTGATCTCTGGGGCTCTGTCTTTGCAACGGGAATCGTCTGTACTTTCTATTGCACTCTGGTACGTGACAGCCATAACTGAACAGCTGGAGCATAGACTGTTAATTCAACCATGCTTTTTACATGACAGGCTATCACAGAAGGGTGGCTTCTAAATACATTCCAATTGACTGAGGTTTAAAGTAGGACAATGTAGAGATAAATTTCTTTTAGACTCTGTGGAACAACTAAGTCTATTTGGAGAAAAAAATATTTCCTCTCAAATCTTCTGCTGTATGTCTCAAGGTTTAAACCAGACAGCTTGAAGTAGAGTCCAGATAAGGAGGTGATAACCTTCCTCTGCCACACTAAATCTTTTGAGAGAATATGAATCTTCTTATCTTTTAGAAGGTATAGACTGAAAAACATCGTAATGAAAAATATGCCTCTGGCGTCACCCCAGATCAAGAACAGCATGATAAAACCTAGGAAGGCAAATCAACAGGTCATAGGGAGCTTTTCTTCTGAGTGGAAGCAACATGGGACTCAGGGTTACGAAAAAGATAAACACTGCAGTGGAAGTGGCAGAAGGCTCAGGACACAGCCTCATTTCTGTTCTCATTACCACTAAGTAATTTGTTCTTTATTTCAGTCCACCCTTGCTGGAAACACTTACCATGCTGCTCTAGTACAGATTTGATCAAATATGAAAGTAGCTGTGGAAAAAAGCTGAACCGAAAACTTTCTGGAGCTCTTTTTCTGAGTTAATTGTGGAGCACTGGGCTCTGAGAATTATAGGGTGTGCTATAGGAAGTACAAACAGACCAGCTTGTATTCCTTAAGCTTTTGTTCCACGTCACCATATTTTCTTCAAATGCAAGAGGCAGGAAAAAAAGCATTTAATTGGAAGTCAAGCATTCCCATATGACTGTAGACAAAACTTTTAAAGCTGTGTCATTTTCTAGCCTGCAAAATACAACCTTTATGGGAGAATATGAAGAGCCCTGATTTGCTAGGTGTTCTACACACAGTTTCTGAGCTCTTGTAATGAGGCGTCTTTCTACCTTTGCTGTATTTGAACAACAGGAAAGAAGACAAAAGCATACATAAAAACATTGTTTGTTTTAGGGTGGATTAAAAGCTGTTGTCTGGACAGATGCATTTCAAATGATTGTCATGGTGGTTGGCTTCACGACAGTTTTGATTCGAGGAACCACTCTGAATGGTGGATCAGCCAAGGTCTGGGAAGTTGCCTATGAAGGAGCACGATTAAATGTATTTGAGTAAGAAACAAATAGTGCAAACCTTTTCTTTTTTTGTATATTTAATGTTTAGAAACGATACCCTCACAAAGTCAGAGTCAGACTTGTTATTATATTATCAGTGAACAACCTCAGTGACCCAGAAAAGTCCATTCCCTACTTCTTCGATTCTCGGGAATGCAGTTGACCGTCAGAACTTAACTCCTTTTTCTGTCACCCTCTTCGAAGAAATCAAAGCCCTGATGAACTGGAAAGGAGCTTTGCCATTTTTCTTCGTGTAGCTACAAATGCAGCCCAATTATTTCTTCCAGTTGTATGTATCTTTCAATTTCTATTCATAAATCTGGCACTTTGTGTTCAGTACTCTCACCATAGCAGCCAGCAATGGTGCACCACTTCACGGGGACAGAAAACTGGACTTCCTTTGGCTGTTTGTGGCGTTGATGGAAAAGTCCATTGCTCAAGCCAAATCACTGTCAGAACATAGCAGCAAGGTCAAATGTTATCTGCTATATCTATCAAGATTAGCAGAATTCCAAAGATGACAGATGCAAGACAGAATTACTGAGTAATGAAATTTCATTGTTGGTAAAAAATAGGTAACACTGCAGCTGAGGCAATTTCTCATAAAGGAAATGACACAGCATGATGATTTAATCGGGAATTTGGAGGACTTATACAGTTTAGCAAGTGGCTTTGTTCCTTGAAGAGGACAGGGCCCCAGGCAGGATGGCTTGCAGGTCTGTTGCTCTAATGTGACACAGACCTGAAATCTGAGCATAAGCAGCCTTACAAATGTGATTTATCTCAGTCACTCCATCCTCTGGCTGAGTCTGCATGATATATGTTTATCCTGAATTGATAGCAATATGTTCAAATATAAGAATAAAAAAACCTCCAAACCTAACCACATTAGATGTTTTCAGCGCTGGATACGTACTACCGCTGCAGTACTCCCGATTCAGAGGGTAGGACATAGTGGATAGTTCTGAAAAATCACCTGCCCCTTGCTAAAGAAATGTGTGTTTATGTAAGTGAACTGAGTTGCTTCTTTCTCTCTTCTAGCTTTGATGTCGATCCCTTGAGACGACATACCTTCTGGACAATTGTTATTGGGGGAACATTTACGTGGCTAGGGCTTTATGGAGTTAATCAGTCCACAATCCAGAGATGCATTTCTTGCAAGTCAGAAAAGCATGCTAAACTGTAAGTTACCTGCCATTAACCTATTCTAGCAATCAAAGATACTGAAATGGAATTCTAAGTTTGTCAGGTCTGTTAAGAAATAGCTAATTTTGCTCTGACAGTCTTGCTCCTTCTGGCCATGAATGACATAAGTAAATGCAGAAATAAAACCAAGTAGCTATTAACCTCTTGCAGTTTATTACTTTGGGGTCAGGCTGCCAAATTAATCCTTGGAAGCAGAGTATGTAGATAGCTGTGCTATCTACAACTTAATTGGTAAAACATGTTTATTGGAATTGTGGTTTTGTCGTATTGTATTAAAAGTGGTTAATGATTTAATGGAGCACTACAGTACAAGGTATTAACTAAATCAAATTAAATCAGTAAGTAATTAATATTCTACAGCAGAAGAATAATTAGACTCAATGGTAAAGAGCCAAGTGAAACTTCAAAATACATACAGGTCTTCCTCAAAATCAGCATTAGCATATGCATAGCTAGACACCAAACCACCAGACTTTTTTTTCCACATGCCTAGCAGAAATTGCTTGCCCAGTTGGCTAAAGCATAAGGGTTAGTAGGTTTTTCCTTCTTCAGACAGTTTGCTTTTGTGCTAGCTGCAATCATATTGATTTTTCTTAAGGTCGTGCTAGATTATATGAATTTTTTCCTGTAGAAACTCAGTCTCTGAAAAACGTTTGGAAGTCACAACAGTGAGAACATCACTAGTAACAAGTTCTGAAAGACCTTCAGGTCCCAGCAGCAGAGCTGTGAATCAGCCCCAGCAAGAGACCTTGCATAAGGTCATGGCCAAACATGATGTAGGTTATATAAAACCTGCCAGCTCTTGGGAGCTACAGGATTACGGGACCACAGCCACACAGCCTCCCCAGTGGATGCTGTCACTCACACCCATTCCATGGGCTAGTGAAAAACAACTGGTACTTTGCAAACATGACAGAAGGCCTACAATGGCTTAAAAGGAGATGTCAGGGTTTAAGTCCAGCTGGCAACTAAACACCACGCAGCCACTTGCTCACTACCCACTTCTCCTTCTCCCCGGTGGGATTGGGAGAAGTGAAAGTTAGTTTAAAAAAAGGTAAAACCCTTTGGGTTGACATAAAAGCAGTTTAATAATTGAAATAAGGTAAAATATTATTATAAGGAAATAGAGAAGAATAAAACAAACCAACCAACCCAAATGATGCACAACACAATTGCTCACCACATGCTAACTGATGCCCAGCCCGACTCCGAGTACCAAGACAGGAGAAAAGCAACAACTCCCAAGAGACAAAAGTCTGCTCTTACACGGGACAGGAGGGACAGACCCAGCGCTTGGTGCTGCCTGCTCTGTGTCCAACTTACTGGTGTCTTCCAGCTGTATGCCTTGAACCTTCCTCCTTGCCCTATAGCAAATCTGTGTGTTTCCACGTATGTTTTTAATCTGTATTACATACAATTCCTTACCCTGCTGATGCCTTTAAGAAATAATTTAGCTAGCTTAGAATTATATAGCTAGCTTTGATTTAGGTGTCTCCCTAACAAGGTAGAAAAAACCTAACTTGTAACATCTTTTCCATATGAATTTTGTATCAGTTTCTCTGCTTTGTTCTAGGGCACTTTACCTCAACTTACTGGGACTGTGGACAGTCCTCGCGTGTGCAGTGTTTTGTGGCTTGGTGATGTACTCTCATTACAAGAGCTGTGACCCTTGGACTGCTGAGTTCATTTCAGCACCTGATCAGGTACAGATACCCATTATTATAACTAGGAGCTGCTTTGGGCCCAGACATAGCATGCGTGAAGACAGTTAAGATTTCATAGGTTGCTTTATGTCCTGTCATTGCTCAGGCACTAATGCGGCTGCTGAATCAGGGCTAGAATAGATCTTTCCTGATGCTCCTGCTGTGCTAATCTGACTGAGCGCTTCCCCAAATGACATCCTCTTTGCTCACGTTCTGACTCCTCTTGTTAGTGGGAACGAACCCAGAATTTAGCAACATGCTCTACAGCAACTGCTTTTTTTCCACTACCCAGGAAAATCTTAACTAACTGCTTGTGTTGCTCTTGTGCTTCTTCTACCCCAGCTCATGCCGTATTTTGTTATGGACATTTTTTCCTCGATGCCAGGAGTCCCAGGTCTGTTTGTTGCCTGTGCATTCAGTGGAACGCTAAGGTCTGTGATCCTGAAGTGACAGTTTATCTGCAATACGATTGATTTTTTGAGGACCCAGAATAAGATCAAAATACGAAACCCTAAGGAAAGCCCAGCTGTTTTACCCAGAACTTTCAAGGAAGCAGAAGTAGTGCTTTGCTGAGCTGTATTATATTTATGCCAAAGTCTAGCTCCACTTCGCCAGTATCTTACTATCCCAAATATATTTTAGAATAACAGTACCAATACAGACAAAAGAACAGAAAACCTAAGCTCACTTCCTGAGATACCTTTGGAGCTGCTCCTGGCGAAATTGCCTTTACTGAACCTGACTGCCACCATATCCCAAATAGGGATAGAAAGCTTTTCAGCAAGTCTATCTGTACATAAAGCAGTTAGTTAGACTAGGAAAAAGAGATGTCTGCATAGAGAACTTTTAAAACTTCTTTAGAACTTCAAAATCTACCGTGGTGCTGCATCTTACTGTAGTTTTCTACCCTCTACAGGCCAAACATCAATACTTCATAGGACATTCGAGAGAGAGAAGAGTCAAGTTCATAGTTACTCTGTGGTATTTGAATAATGTCAATCTCCAACAGGCTTTTTCTAAAGACTCTTATCTGTAGAAAAAGCAAGAGAGAGCTATCAAAACAGGGGAGGGGAAAAAGCCACCATCAAAATCCCTGCATAAAAGGCACTGGTTTCTCCTGCCAGGAGACTAAGAACACAGTAAAGGGCACAAAGTACTAAATACCATGCTGTAGGTATAGACCTTGCTATGTTATCACAACAAATTCACCAAATATGTGTTCATTCACCTACCTATAACAGCCAGCCTATCCCTATTCCATATTTTTCAGCTCTGAGAGAAAACACCCTGTTCCTCCACAAAATGTCTATTATCACCAGATGTCACTGTGCATACTTTGATTTGTAAGGGAGTAGAACTTTTGTTCTGGAGCATGCCTATATTTTGAAGGACTTTGCAGACTGATAAACTGAAGGGTCAGTCAGGATGAGTTTCTGTATTGTTCTGTGCCAGCATGAAGCAGAGCCCCTTGCAATCCCAGAAGGGACAGAAACCTCACCAGCATCAGCAGCATATGTGAAAAATACTGAGAGATGTACAGTTCTTGAAGAGTATTAGTGCTGAACAAGAGGAAGCATTTCTTTATAAATACATATTGCTTCTTACTTAATGTTTTTCTTGCTTTCTACAGCACGGTAGCTGCCAGCATCAATGCTTTAGCAACTGTTACATTTGAAGACTTGGTCAAGAAAGGTTTCCCAAACCTCTCAGAGAAGATGAGCACATGGATCAGCAAAGGCTTATGTAGGTACCCTAGATGCGACCCACTTCTTTAACACTAAAAGCATCCATAGCCCCAGATGTTACTGCTGCAGGAAAAATAGGGCAGAATTTCATATACTTTGAGCTTTGAGAGTCTCCAACTCTCAGTTGGCTCTGAGAGCCGTTCTGTGTGTAATGAAGGGCACTGTCTAGAGACACCTCTTCAGAAACACACTTGTGCTTTAGAAACCTCCACAGCGTAACCTTTTATAAACTCTCAGGATGAACACCAGCCTTATGCTTCAGTAAAATTGAGCATGGGCACTATATGGTACAGAAACAAATATAGACTAGCACCAGCAACCACTCCTCAAAACCTCTGCAAAACAACTTCTTTCTACTGAAAATATTGGGGAACACTCTGGGATCTTCTTTACAACACAGAAAGGAAGTGTAGGGTTTCTTATCACATTGATCTATAATAGCATTACAAAATATTATTTTATAGTAGGAAAATAGACATTTCTATGCAGAGTGTTGCATAAACAGGTTGTTCAGCTTCTCAGAGAAAAATAAAGATTTGTAAGAGAAATAAAAACCAGATCATTAACATCAAGCAAAGTGGTTTGAATTTTAAGATACTTGTAAGAATTACTGCAGTCATATTATAACCTTTTCATAAGTACTGTAATAATAGCATAACCATTTATTACTATTGGTAAAGATCAGATAGGAGCCAAACCAATACAATTTCTGTTTCTGTAAATGTGTCCAGCTTTCTCTGTTCCTGTTTTTCCACTCACTTACTTACTTGCTCTCAGGACCTAGAAAGACAATGTTCAACTCTGAAACCAAGGTCTGCTAGCACATTAGACAAGTTTTGGTTGGCTTTACTCAAGACTGCTACATAAGAGTTTTGTACCCCACAGCTTAAAACTGTTGTGAAAGGAAGACAGATGTGTTGTTTATCATTGCTCAATTCATTCATTAGATTATTCTAAAAGGGTTATTTAAATGCAACAGAAACAGGAACATTTCTACATGAGGCATAACTTCTAACTTCATTTCGTTGCAAAGTTCTGCTCCGTCAGAAAACCAACTAATCAAAAACCCAACAAGACTTCATGCAAGACGCCGCTGGGTGCTTAATTATCCACTTTAAACATCAAAACCCTCCACACTGCCTGGTCACTGCAGACACTAGATGAATTGGAAACCATCCACACTATTAAACAGCACTGACAACCTCGCTGCCTCATCTTTTCCAGGTGTATTATACGGTGTGCTGTGCACTTCAATGGCTGCAGCAGCATCGCTGATGGGAGGAGTTGTGCAGGTATCTCTTGCCTCAGAAACACCATGAGCTGAACATGAATGAATAGAAAGGCAATGAACTGAACAAATAATGCTGACAGCCCTGGGGACTGCTGGATTGTATACATGCTGAACAATCTCTGTGCACACTCTGCTGAGAGAAATAACTAGGAAAAAAATAATAATCATAAATCCCCCAATTCCTTCACTATTTACCCACTCCTGGCACATGATACTGTGATTCCCCCTTTAATTGTCACTGAAGTCACTGTTCTCTTCACCCCCACCATTTCCCAGACCAAAAGCAGAACTGCTCATGGTCCCTCCAGATGCTGCACTGAACTCCTGTCTCTTCTCTGCATCACCAGGCTTCCCTCTCCATCCACGGTATGTGCGGGGGGCCCATGCTGGGATTATTTACTCTGGGAATTGTGTTTCCTTGTGCTAACTGGAAGGTAAGTGTTGTTTGCTTAGAGCTACATCTTGAAATTTTTTTGGGTTATTTAGATTTCATCTCTGGGCTGCTTTTCAGATTTAGAGCCTGAGGCATTTAAGATTTGTTTAGAGGTCCCTTGTCACTGCTGAACTTATCCCACTTGAATTTAACTACCCAGCTGGGGAGTAATTGGTGATTAGATCCACATGAGGAGGTTTTTGGGGTTTTTTAATGATTTTTATTTCTGAGTTTCTTCTCTTTTATTAAGACAAATATATTCAGTACTCGCCCCAGCCTATATTCGCCTTGGGACGCACAGAATGATTTCAGTTGCTCTGCCTTTGCTAACTGAGGCAAAACACAATTATGAGCTCACTTCATATTGCCCCTTGAGCAGTCCAATCACATTTACCCAGCAGTAAAACGAAACTCTGTATTGCACTTTTGATCATCACAGTTTTTAGCTTCAACTCTTATTACTAGAGGGCAATAAATCATGCTGGTTTATACCTTGGTTGAGAGAGAATAGAATTGATCTACACTGACAGAGACCAGCGATCACCCACTCCTCCCTAATTCATGTTCACAGAGAAACCTTTCCAATGCACCACCTTTAACACTGTCTCTCTATACCTTCCAAGGGTGCTATGGGAGGCCTCTTAGCTGGGATTACCATAGCTTTTTGGGCTGGTACTGGTGCTTTCATTTACCCTGCTCCACCGACAAAGTCCATTCCTCTGCAACTGCTGACTCTCAACTGCACCCTAGCTAACAGCACCGAGGCACTGATTACAGCGGCGGCAGCTCCCACAGCAGCTCCAGACAGGTATTTTCCCGATCATCACCACCTAAACCTGTGTTTTGTCACAGCCTGCAGCCAGTAGACACCAAATAGGATGGGAGCACACTGCCGGATCATGTACCAGCTGCAGTGTTAGCTCTGTTTTGCTGCCATAGTTGAGACAACTTGAATGTACCCACTGGTCATCACAGCTGCTTTTGTCACCTCTTCACAGACCTTTGCTGGCAGATACTTGGTACTCCCTGTCCTACCTGTACTTCAGTGCCATAGGCTGCCTAGGTTGTGCCATCACAGGGCTGTTGATAAGCTTTCTAACAGGTTGGTATTCAATATATAAATATGTTTGTACAAATGCTTTTGCACAATAATCTGACTCCGCTGTTAAAAGAGCTTTAAAAAAGCCTCGCAAGCAGCTCCCGAGGCAGACTCGACAGAGGGCCATGGGGTCTGACCCTGCTCCACCCCACCTCATGGTCTGAGACACCTAGCTATCCATACACTTGTGTAAAGTTATTTTCTCCTTTCAGGACCTAACAAAGGAGAAGATATCCCACCGGTGTTAATCCAGCCAGTCTGCAACCTCTTGTGCTTTTGGTCTGGCAGACTCAAAGCTCTCCTCTGGTGCGGCGTGCTGCACGACAGCAGGGAGGTGAGTACCTGAGCTCACAGCTCGGCCCTGCCACCGTGCTGGAGCCACAGGCGTACGTGAGGTACGCACCACATGAAGACCATGTCAACCTTCATCAACCCCTCTAAAGCTGTGCAAGGGACGCTGTGTAGGACTAAAGACTGCAAATGGCATCAGACAACCACTGGACAGTGCTGGGCAGCAATAAGTTACTCATGTCCCCTGGCTACGCAGCACACAAGCTCTAGAGACAAACAGCTCTTGGGACAGGCAGCAACCCGTGAAACGCTGGGTGATCTCCCGCTCGCCCCGCTCCACCAGCCGAGCAGGGACAACTCTGCACTTTACACCCTGAGAGTAGCTCATTGAGCTACTGCCTCCTCCCACCAAGCCACAGGAAAAAACTTGAACACTCACATATCCGTGGGACCCTCCTGCTGCTGCTGCCATGGCCACCTTCAGAGCCAGCAGGGCCTCTGCCCTCCAGGGCAGCACTGCCAGCCCATCAGCCGCAACCACCAGCACCTGAAGGGCCATGGCCCACCACCTCCACAGGCACAGGGCCAACTCTTCCGCAGGTGTCTCTGGGCTTTATGAGCCACGCAGCATGAGAATCTCCTCCTCCTGTGCTCTTGTAACAGTTGGCAGAACCTGCTAGGTGTAGAGAAGGGACATAAAACCATAGACTGGTTTGGGTTGTAAAGGACCTTGAAGCTCATCCAGTTCCAACCCCCTGCCATGGGCAGGGACACCTTCCACTAGAGCAGGTTGCTCCAAGCCCCTGTGTCCAACCTGGCCTTGAACACTGCCAGGGATGGGGCAGCCACAGCTTCTCTGGGCACCCTGTGCCAGGGACTCAGCACCCTCACAGGGAAGAGCTTCTGCCTCAGAGCTCATCTCAATCTCCCCTCTGTCAGTTTAAAGCCTTGATCTATCACTACAGAAAGCAATATGAATGTTCTCCTCTCCTTCAGAGTACCCTTTAAATACCCTTAGAGTAACATTTCAACTGCAAGGCTCATATAGAAACTGTCTCTCCACACAGCTTTCCTTAAGTTTGGTATTAAAGCTCATGGCTTCATTTCATCAAGAGCAGCAGGGATGCCTCTAGATTTGCCTCAGCTATTTCACTTGGCTTTTAGGTGCTCAACATAACTTCATCTTGAACCCTTCCGAAGTAAAAAAAACCTCAGTAAAAGCAAAATCACAGATGCATTTATTGCCTTGTATTTGCTTAAAATATAGAATAACATTAATCAAGTATTTGCAGTGTGAAACCACTGGGGCAAGTGTAGGCCAGACTAAAACCCAATCCACTAAAATGCACATAAATATGCAAATGAAAATCTAAATTTAATGCACTGAGGGCACATTTAAAGACTTTCACATGAACAGAGATGTTGTGAGAAGCTGGTTTTGTGGCTTTTGCCAAAGACTTTCCATAGGGAAATGAGAAAATCAGTGGTTATGTATGGAGGGGACACACACTGAAGAGTGCCTGTTTGTGGGTATGAGGCTCATTTTATGTAGTGAAGTAACTGCTCAGATTTATAAGAAAGGATCTCAGAATTTCAAACTGCAACAAGATAGCCTTTAACCAAAGGACATACGTCATGAATACAGGCTTCAAACTGCTAAGGTGGTTTTGGTTTGTGTTTTTTTTCCTCAGGTGGACTTGGAAAAAAGTCTGCCGAAAGTTACTGCAAATCAAACTGGAACCGGTGACACCTTCAAGAATAGCATCAAACGCCAGTTCCCTGGTTACAATCCTGAGGAGAAATTGTGTACTAATATGAGCAGAGAATCTCGCCTCTAGAAGCTGAGAGACAAGGGACATTTAATCAAACTTTATGTCTTCAGCTTCAGAAATGAACAGGTTTGAGGTTTTATTATCACATTTACCAGCTTGTAGATGACCAAGAGGGATGAATTGCCCTCTACAGCAATTCAGGCTATATTTTTATTTATAAATTCCGTGGCAGACCTGGGAAATCATTGGACAGTGGGGTTTTGGAGGCACTGCTACTTCAGAAGAAACGTTTCATGAACCTTGTTGCGGAAGCTCCTGCTTGGAAGTAGCTGCAATATATCTGTAGCACATGCTCTGTTCAGTAACCAGTCACTGAGGGGAAACTTGCAAAGGGGAACTTGAGATAAATTAAGACTTTGGAGTAGTTTGTTAGGTCTCTCACTAAGGTGAGACTGTGAACTGCCCTCTAATGGAGGGGACAGAAGGGAGGTCACACTACTTCCAGGTATCACAAAAGGCCTTTTCACAGGAATGTTGTACAGACCAGGGTGGTCTTTCAGTGACTGAGTTAATTGTGTTTGCTTCCTCTGTGGAACTCAGATTTCTTTGTAACATCTGACTGTAAAAGCTATAGGATAGAGTAACAAATTCGACTTCAAATTCAGGATAGTTCTTTATGCATGTTTGTCTTGGAAAGACACCGTTTCAGCTCAGAAAGTTCCATATACTACCTTTATGCAAGAAGGAAAATAAACTGACAGTTGGTGATGATGCCTCCTGATTGAAAGTGCTGAATTTTGAAAAAGAGATTAGGCAAAATAATTGATCTGATAAAACGTCTTGGAAGAAGGTATCTAGCCCGCTAAGATTCTGTTCCAGTGGGAGATTTTCTCTAAAACATGCCTCAGTAAATCGAACTCAACAGACCACCCTCTCGCCTCAATAAATGTTTGAATGTAGTTTTTTAGATGAATGTATTTGTGTTTATACAAAACTTGTAATTGAATGTAACAGGCTGAATACCAAAGACAACTTAGTTATGGACCTAGCTGATATAGAATCATAGAATGGTTTGGGTTG